TAGATATATAATGGATATATCAATAGAACCTACTAGGTATCTGCCTCCAGATATACCGCATCCAGCACATTTAACAGAGCTTCATTGATGTCCGTCTTGGCTATCTCTTTGTAGTGCAACAGCGATTGATGATCGCTGTAAACCACAAAGATAATGGGCGCCAATATCTCATGCATGCCCTGTCTGTAGCACATGTACGGATGCTCCCGTGCATAGTAGAAGAGTATGTTCGTCATGGCATTCTGTATTAGGGATTTGCGAAAGAAATCCACACCCGGAAACGTGCGCACCACATCCTGGCGTATGACAGCGAATAGCTCCTGATCGCTAAAATACTGATTCCAGACACTTTTCGTCGACTGTGATAAGGGATCATCGTCTACAGGGCCAGCCAGCTCGTGGGGATTGCGCACATAGTCCACGCGAAACTTCTCGTATCTGCAAGTTCGTTTTCACATTTATAAAGTACTGCAAGTTTGATTATTTAGTCAATTAACCTGCTTCGCTGCTGTGTGCGCTGGCTAACCCAGCTGCGATGATCAGCGCTCAGCACTCGCAGCAGCAGCGCCCAGTGGATGCTGCGAAACTTTGACATTTTCAGCTGGCCGTTGAATGCAGCCAAACGCAAAGATTCGGGGTCCTTGTCCAAGTTGGACAGCAATTGCGCCCATTCCTGCCTGTAGCGTTCCACAGAGGTCATGGCCTGGCCTTTGTCAACAGGTGTAGGTTCTATCACGGCCCTGCCCGTTTCCTCACGTATGTTTGTTTTTATGGCTGCTCTTGCATCTGCCTTTGACGTCGGCATATATAATTTGATAGCTTCTATACCCCGCACAGTCATTGCTTTGTTGCTGGTTGCTCTATGCGAATTGTAAATGAAAGCATAATCGCACCAAATTGAATTGAATTTACAAATACTATATAAAAGTGAGTGGTTTACAAAACAAAGCTGATTATATTTGGCAACATTTGTGAGATAAGGGTGCAAGTGTGACCGACTTGCGTGTAAAGATTTATTACATTTTGCACGGGTCTGGCAAGCACAGCTTTAGTTTCGATTGTTCATGACTTATCGATGTTAGCAATAGAATGGTATTAGAATAACTTTTTAAATCTAGAATATGTTAGTCTTCTAGGTACTCAAGTAAAATTTTAAACAGACTTTCTTCTAATCATACAATTTTAAAATGCAAACATATAAATATTTATGCTAAGCAGCTGTACAGCATACAGCATAAGTTAGAATCTCATATATACCAGTTGCAAGGACTTTTATGTGCTAAATTACGATAATCGATAGTTCCAGCTTCAGTTTGAATTTGGCCGTTGCAGTATAATTATATTTATTCAAGCACTGAAAGGTGCGTCACTTATTATATCTAGAATTAATCAAATATGTTGGTGGTTAACAAATTAATGTTTAAAAACAGGTTTTCTAATCATAAAATTTACCATTCCAAATTATAAATATTAATGCTAAGCTACTGTACAACATTCCGTTTATTTAGAATTTTATACCATCGCTATTGTCTGGGAATGTAAATATTTGCGCCAATCGATAGTTGCAGCTTTAGCCGTTAGAGCACGAATAAGTTGATGTAAAAGAGACAAAAAGAAATATGAAAAGTTAAGTAAGTTTTTTTTAATCTAGAATAGAAGTATTAAAATCAACTATGTTGATGGTTATTAATTTACTGTAAAAACCGGTTTTCTGAGCATTAAATTTCGTAGCAAATAAATAAACAATAGTGCTAAGCCACTGTACAGAATTTAGTTCGTTTAGAATTTTATGGATATCAGCGCCAACTGCTGTTAACATAAATCTGTGGCACTCGATAGTTCCAGCTTTAGTTTGTATTTGGCCGTTATACCATAAGGGCATTTATGCAAACACTTTTATTTGAAAAGCGAAGCAATAAGAAATCATTTTAATATTCAATATATACATATTTGATCACGCACATATATACTTTCACACATTGGGGTCAATGTTTGCCTTAGCGCGCTTGATACGCAGCAAATTACCGATTATAATGCTTAACGAAACTGACAAACCAGGAAATAAAGAAGAAATAAAAAAACAATAAACAATGTCTTGCCGGCGCAGCAGCCGCAATATTATGAGCATTAGCATAAGCAACAGTTTCAGCAGAAAAAAAAAAAAAAAAAAAAAAAATTGCAAATATCGCAGTCTTTAGTTTATGCCATCGAAACTCTTCTATTTTTAATGTATTATTATGCTATGGTCAATGGCTGGCGCTTTTTGAACCAAGTAAGACGGTCAATGCCGTTTTTTGATCTAGTCTCGAGCAATATTTCTAGCATTTTAAACTTGACCCAATGAATCCGCCAGCAATAACAAATTTACGCTGTCTGACCGCTGTCCGATGGAGCGTATGAATGAATCTTAGGCATTACCAAAAAAAATCATAAGCCTTACTATGCTCTGAAATTTCATTTACTAATAATGCTAGCTGCATTGAACCGCGAAATGTAATTTTTACTAACAGATATTCACATCACACAGCTTTAAGGTTCCTTCCTGTCTGTTCTGACTTGTCAAATAAATTATGAGTGCAGTTGCTGTCAACTGCACGTCCAGCGCATTGTCATATATCGAAATTCACACGCACGCAACACGCACACACACACACACATATACACACACTATACCACTATCTTACGCACACAGACGCATGCGGACAACGAGTATACGCCGCATTGACTTCGATTTCGTTTTGTCGGTCAAAGTCAATGTCAATGCAAATGCGAATTGTGGAAGACGCAACCGCTGCCATGGCAACGCATTAATTAACTAATCTGTTGGTTTATTTCTATTTAATATTTTATTGTTTATGTTATATCTTGGCCGATCGTGCAACGGTCTACAGCGAAAACGTTTGTTAGCTGCTTATCAGCGCCGAAGATAACTCGTTTTTGATTTCAGTTTTTGTTTGTGTTATTATTATTTCTTCTTTTTTTTTTTTTTTTTTTTTTTTTTTTGGGCCCTGTTACAGTTTGCTTCGGGCTGCTTAGCATTTTGTATTTCCTGATGTTCAATCAAGCAACAGCTGAGCATAAATGTGCGTCGATTTGAGTGTTTCTTTTCAATTTCAGTGAGTCTTTCTGCTTCTTCTCTGCAGCGACCGCATGACGCAGCCGAGGTGAAGTTCGATTTCGCGCGACTTTGGCCTTTTTTCGAGTGTATGCGTGTGTATGCGTGTGTGACTTTGTATCCATTTACATATTTTAATTATTTTCTTATGCCGTGTTTTACTCTTTTTATTTATTTTATTTTTTGATTTTGTATGTTGTGCTTCTTTACAGTTACATTTGCAAGTCGTACGCGGAAGACAAAGGCCGGAAGTCCATTGTCAATGTCTGAGGCCTGTAATAGTCGACCAAGAGGCAAGAATTTGATGACCATGCCAGTGGCATTGCTTTAGTATATACATATACTAAATGTATATAAACATAAATTTATGTAATATTCTTAATCATAAGGTCGAGGGGTCACACAAGAGGAAGATAACCAGTTCTAATGTAGGGAATTCTCCAAAGCTGAGCAATAAATCAAAAATCAAAAAGGAAAAAGATAAATAGTTTCTGATTAATACTAAGTTGCTCTAATGTATTAGCGACATACTCCAGTTATGAGTATTTTTAGTATCTGCAAACCTTTAGCACCTGTTCAACAGGTTTCGTCCAGACACCTAAAGGGTCGCTGCCATCCATCAATTTCCCATTATATACATCAGACCAGCTGTAAAAATGTTTTATAAACATAGACACACATATATTTATATGTGTATGTATTTAACACAACACACAATGTAGAAATAAAAGTATAGAATTTAATAAACGAAATACCAAATGATATTCTACGTAGCATAGCTACTGACATAGGCTCAGGCTGAGAATATAAAAGTATATATAGGTTTATTTATGTAGATATTTAAAATACGAATCAGGTTTTGCAGCCATGCTGTTGAATTCTAAATAGCATGCGGTTTTTTGGGCCTTATCCATGCTGGGCATGATCGAGTTGTTAATGAAAATAGTGAAGTTCTCGCTGCTGGCAAACGTTCTTTTTAGCCAGCACCCAGCAACTGGCCAAAGCAAAGCAGTATTATTGTTATTGTTCTTTTTTTTTTTTTTGGCAAAAGTTTATACGGAAACAGTGCCAATAAAATAAAAACAATAACAAATGCATATGCAAATGGTGACAAAGAATAATGTTAGACGTAAAGTTTTGATATGCCGCGAACTCGTTGCACGTGATCCATTTGCTAATTCGAATGGTCAGCTACTCCATTTTCTGCCCAGAGCATAACAATTCATTGACTTGAGTTCTGATTTTGGACAATTTCTACTTGTATATTTGAAAAAATCGTTAGAGTTCTCGAAAAAACAAAAAATCAAATGTGAAATAGGCGTTTTGTCAACTGTGGTCAGATCTAAATCGAATAGAATACCGTAATTTGCAGTTAAAATTTAGAAGTACTATTATTATGGCGTGTTCTTCAATAAAAAATGTTTGATAGAGTAATTTAGATGATTAGCTACCAGGTAGGAAGTGAGAAAAGAATTATAATTTATTATCACTCACATTCTTCACTCATTGTTCACTATGAGTCATGATCTCGCATCAACAATAAATCGATATAAAGTAGTAGAGTTGAGATATCGAAAATGTACAAAAGACTAGAGATCTACAAATGTATAGGATAAGATTAATAAGAACAAAAATTCATAGTTTTTAGGTGAACTAACATAGAAGACTTGGGTCTTCTTAATGACGAAGACCTAGGCAAAAATTTGGTTACTCAAACGAGTTTTAAATAAATAGATGTTTATGCATTTTAAGCGTTGCTTTAAAATACCTTATTTCTGTGAAGAAATATATATAAATTAAGGATTTAACGAATGCGTTTCTACCTTCCTATCATCATCATCATTTGACATTTTTAATTAAGATTAAAATTAAAAAATATTATTATAACACCGAATTTCTCCACTTATTTTGAGTAATCATTTAAGGTGTTTCAACGCATTTTTCTTCATGTTCTACGGTGATTTTTTCATATGCTTACAGATCTTCACTTTGATTGGGCTTTAATGGATTTCAGTTGTTATGATCAGCCAGGGGCTGGGACCGTAGAACCACACGATTGGCTTGGTCTGATACAGCCTGTGAGAAAGTATTGTGTATTGTGTATTCTATGGAAATAGGTTGCTGTGAAACAAATAGAATTATAATTATTGTTTTTGTTTTTCAATAGATTCCATTGTGTTGTGCTGCTGCAAACCTTTTGCTTGAGCTTTGTGTGTTTTTCTATGGCGATGCTCATGGGGCATTAAGTGCGTGTTTGTGTTGACTCAAACGTGTGACATTGCGTTCTTCCTGTGGCTGCGCCTCATTTCGCAGCTGTCATTTGGTATTTGCATAAGCGTTTGGCCTAAAGCATTCAAATCCAGGCCTAATTAGGTCTTCACGCACTTTGCACTTGACTATGCAGCCTTTGCTTTGTCGCCTCACATCGATCTCTATTATGTTTTTCGAAGTAATTTCAGACTCGGTTTCAGATTTTGCAATTGTCACGCGTCGCATTTGAAATTGACTTGAGTTGCAAATAGTTCAAGCTCTGAAGTAACCTTTAGTGCATCATATAGCTGAAAGCAATAGATTAGCCAATATTGAGAGAAAATAGCAAGGCAGAGATAAAGAGAGCAAACGAGCGAGAGAGAGAGAGAGAGAGAGAGAGAGAGAGAGAGAGAGAGAGAGAGAGAGCGGGAGTGAGTGAGAGTGAGTGTATATGAGACGGAGTGTATCTGATACTACCCATTAAATATATGTACATATATTTGTTTATACTCATAAAAATTTTATACCAGATTCTGAAACAAGTTAATTTTCTAGTTTGTTTTGAAACTTAACATAAATTTGGCAAGCTTTTCATTTCCTAGTTGACGTCTATGATTATCTGGCGAACCTGACCACTATATCGTATGATTGACATAGGTCCATGAATATAAACTCTATCAAACTAGTGGCTCTTTCTGGAACTCTATATAGAGACAAATTTGAATTATTAATAAACATTTCTGCTATATTAAATTTATCTAAATTTCTTATCAACTAGGAACAGTCTTCATGCAAATAAACATAATTTTTCCTCAGCAAAATGAAGTTATCTTTATGGCTATGATGGAGCATATGATCGTGATAATGAATGTTAATTATTCAACACTTACCAGTAGCCCACCTCTGGATTATTTCTTATATTAGCGCTACAAAATAATTTTTGCAGTATTTCAGTTTTTATGCTGATTGTTTTTTATTTTCAGCTCAAGCCAACCTCTTGGCTCTTGCTGATTATATAGTATTAAACAAATTTCTTTATCTATAAGTTGAAAAATTCTGACAAATTTTACTATTATTTCATAATGGGTATGAACCATCTGTAGCAAAGCAAGCACCTCAAGACCTCATAATTGCTTTGGGTAATTGACTTTGTTCAAGAACCTGCAATATTCTTGGCCTCACCTTGACGCAGCTAGAATCTTCTTTGTGCATCTCTAAGCAGAGGTTCATATTATCTTCATTTTTTTTTTTTTTTGCAATTTTAATTGCATGCATGTGTGTTTATTTGATTTTTAATATTCTTTATGATGTTTTCTGTTTTTGGTGCTTTAATGCTGCAAGTCATTAAGTGTTTTGGCTGCGACACGGCCATTAGCTGCTAACTGCCTGCAGCCTTTCAATTACTCTCCCGACCTGTGTGCGGGGTTACACGGCGAATGCACAGTGTCGCAGATCTCGCACAAAATGGATTGAATTAAATTTAGTTTGCTACAATACAAGCTAGGTCTCACCTAATTTGCTTCTGAGGCACGTCCTCTAATTGTGATGTATGTGCTAAAGCGCATTTATGGACACAAATACCTTGGGGCGAACTACTCCAGTTTTACATTCATTCACATCAGTTTCATTCAGCGCACAAGTTGAATGAACCATTTCGATCGGTATTTAGTCAATATTCACGCACGTGCTCAAAAATTAACGATTTTGATAACGATTTTCTGATTAGCCTCATAAATTTCGCACACGCCCAAACTTCATAATATTTAGCACAGGTCCGACTTCTGTTCTGCATTTATAGAGTATATTCAAATCAAGTTGTTTTGTCACAGTTCCTGGCTGTTTAACGATTGAAGCCAGACAGTGGAATGAGTATGTTTAGATACTTTGACTTTAAACTCTGTGCAACATTTTGTTGCCACCTGTTGACCTTCCATCGTTGCTGCAAGTTGCAAAACGATGACTTTTGACACTTCGACCCTCTCGCACGAGTTTGTCTGTCTGTCCCTCCCTCTGTCTGCCTGTCTGTTCGCATTGCAAACAATTTTAGTGGCCGTCAGTACAACAAAATTAGACACAACTCATTTTAACAATAAACATTTGGCAGTAAACTGTAAACAGTTATTTTTTTTTTCATTTTCATTTTCAGTTATTGTTTCTTCTTTTTTTTCGAAACATGTACAAATAATTACTGGCCTAAAACGGGGCTTGGGCCCAACTAGCTGTTTGTCTTGAGAACCGCGAGTCGTCCGTCACTTTGCGTGGCCAAATATTGACGCGGATTCAACAGCAATTAAGTTTGGTCATGAAAACGATTGATTTTTAGAACTGTAACAAAACCACAAATCAGCAGCAAACTGCGAACTTTGAGAACAAACAAACAAAATGCGGCTGCCTCACATGTAAAGTGCCATGGAAACTATGTGAAAAGGCCATCAAAAAGACGAAATTTTAGTGTTTTTTTTTTTTACTAGGAAGAAGTTCGCTCAAAGTATGCAAGATAAGTTTGTCAGCCCAGATGCATATTTATAAAAGAAATATGATAGACATATGTATTCATATTTCATAAATATAAACCTCTATTTCTTCCGTTTCGGCAAAGCTCCATAAGATTATTTGCGAAGTTTTAATGAAAAACATATACGAATTTAAATTCATATCAAAATATTTGTTTGTTATAATTGATCCACTTCCTTCATATTAAAAATTAATATTTAGTTTTTAGCAATAAATATATAATTCAATGTTCTTATTTCTTTAATATATTCAATATATCAGGGCACTGAATAAAATATTATATCGAATATTAAGTATACAAGCAGAAATATGAAATTAAAAAAATAAAAATTTTATTAACAACAATAATATTAAATTGGCAAAATAATTATAATTATTATAATAAAAATCATATTCACAATTATATAATATGATATATGTATGTATAAACAAATAGAAGCAGTTATGAATGAATGAATGAACGGACAAAATGTGAATTATTTATGTCTCAATCGATTTGAATCGATCGACTTTGGCTTCTCAGAGCTTAATGAAATCATAAAAAGCTAACAAAAATCGCACACGCGGCCACTTTTAGGCCAAATGCTCAGCATTGAATGGAATTGAGAATATTTAGAGCTAAATGTGGCCATTAGCCGGCTGACATGGTTGACATGCATATGCAAAGCACAGGCAAGCATAATGGCAGTTAATAAAGTAGCCAACGTGCTCAACTTGACCGCTAGTTGGATAGTGCATGACCTGCAGCTGAAACTAAAGCCAGGCCCGACCCTGTTGAGTAAGCCAAAGACGCCGACGATAAGAAAAGTCCGCAAAGAAATGAAAAACAGAAAATCAAATGTGGTTGGACAACTTGCGTCGTGTGTGTGTGAGAAAGAGAGAGAGAGAGGGAACTGAAGAGGCCTACGTGAGTTGGGCCAAATACTCTATGGGCTAAATGTGAATTTTATGACGATTCGTGGTAAACCACCGAGCCCCCGTCTTCCCCCTTTCCCATCTACCCCTCTCCCACAGCATAACTGAAGTCTTGTTACATTCAATTTGCGCTGTCGCTTTTATCTAAATCAAATTACTTAATACCAAAAATCAACGAAGCCACGCGTCGCACATTAGGTCGACGGGAAAAAAATAAAACAAAAACAAAAAACAGAAAAAAAAAAAAATCACACAAGCGTACCGCGATCAACGATCGTCACAGTTCAAGAATCGGTCGGAGAGCCGACTGCATGTCGCATGAAGATCGGCTTTAAAATTCGGCGTTGCTAACTATTTGAGGCACTGTTGTTCGTCAGCATTGGAGCACGAACCTCACTCGCTGTGAATCGGTTGTGCGCGAATCTCCATATATATATATATATATATACTCACACATACAATCACATATATCTGTATCTATATATGTATATACATATGAATTTTGAACTAGCCAAGCTTAAAAACGATCTGCCTGACGTGCCGTACAATCATACGCCGTGCATTCTTCGCGAACCGTGGATGTGCCGCGTGTGTTTATAAGTTAACCAAAATTATATATATAGAATATCGAACATCCTTATAGGGATGCAAAACGAACTATTGAGTGCGTAACTCGTACCTCAGATTTGGTGTGTGTTTGTTAAGAAAGCAAAGAGCAAATCTATAAGCAACATACGGATTTTACCTGATCATCAAATAGAGATATATATATATATATATAGAATATATATATCTGTAACGCAATTAAACAAAGGTAAGTACAAGCAGATCATAAGGGAATACAAGTCTATATCAACAGAGATATTAGTCATTGGAAATTTCACAACATTTTGCGAAAATTAAAGGAATGCCTAAGATGATAAAATCCTCAGGTATCCACTAAGTGGAATGTGCTCAACATCAATCAATATTATAAATAAAATCAAATCAATCTTGAGTCAAGAATCTCTTAACTCATAGTTTCACCATTGAACACAATATAAAGAAGACAATAGCTATATATATATAGATGTATAAAATGTGGAAATATTTGTGAATCATCAGCGAAATAGGAAATCACACAGCAACTATAACGCGCTTTAAGAATGGGCATAATAATAATATCGAAATATGATTGGGGAAAAAAGAAGAAGCAAAACGCCACAAAGTTAGGGATCACGTAGCATAAATAAAAAAAATTATGCTAGCCTTTAAAGGCAATGAGTCAAAGTCCATCTAATATGTAGATAGGCTAGGCTGGCTAGGCACCCTGTTCTACGCACAATGGGGCGTATGCGTAATGAGCGCGATTGTTCTAGGCGGCTGCTTGTATCAGGTTTTTGTATTTGTATTATTTCTGTCGATTCTTAAATTGAATATCTATATATGCGTTAGCATAGTGTTTAATGAATATGGATGGCGCGCATAATTGCGAACTGGCCATAGCAATGAAGACATTAGAGACGATCATGCATATAGAACAGTCGTCACGTTCCAGCCAGCCAGAGACAGAGCCAGAGCGTCATCCATTGTTATGCCAGCAGCGTCCCAGCCCGACGAATTGATCAATGGATATGCATAGAGATATAGATGGATTGACATACAGCTATAGCACATTGATTGAATGTAGCTGATATTTATTATTATTATTATTATTATTGTCATTGTTGTTGCTCTGACGCGCTAGTGTTTGCTGCCAAGCAGTTTAAGATCGATTGATTAATTCGATTCAAATAAAAAAAGAATAATATTAATAATAATAAAAACTCTCACGAAAGATACACCACAAAGATACATGAGTATCACAAGCCTTTGAAACTCTAGCCAAAACCCGTTGCTAGAACCTTGATCCCACAGCATAAATATATGTATGTGTGTGTATGCACAGTCACTTATATTCTAAATCGAAGCTGTTTTCTGTATAAGTTTTGTTCTTCATTGTTGAATTATGCTAATATTCCGGTAAGGATGGCCGCAGCCACAAAGCAAGGCTAGCCAATCTCAACATATTTTGGCATTGGCATATCAGACTCCAAAACTCGTTTTGACAGAGGCAATGAGTGGTGTTGGCTCTCGATTTAGTTGGGTATCATATGTATATATATTTGGCTTGTCTATATATTACAATGTGACGACTTCAGTGCAATGCACTCTGTCAGCTTTCTCATTGCCTTATAATTGATATTAATGAAGTATTTTGCAATGCATTTAATGGCAAGCATTATGCAGGCCAAAGTTGAGCTTGATTGGCTCTATATATAAATATATCCTATATATGTATATAATATATATTATATATTGGTGTTAAATGTATTACAAAACATTTAATTAGATACATTTCACAAAATAATGCAAATTCTTTTGCGCATTGACGGGCCGGATTGAAGTCTAATTTTGTTTGTAAATTTGTTTACTTAGCCATTGGTCAAGGTCAAGTTCTTTGATTAATATAGATTTTGGCACGAAAATATTCAAAGGCTGAACTATGCGCGCACCTGTAATTCAATTGCTGATCGATTAAGTGGCTGCGGCTTCAACTTGACATTGGCAACGGCTGCGAGTTATTGACTTCAAAAACTAGGCACGAGTTGGCATCGAGTTAGATATACTATATACGAAATGCCCGGACTGAGCAGCCAACAAGAACATTAAATCAAACTCTAGACCGCGTGCATGTGGTATGAGGTCAACCGGTTGTCGATTCTAAAGAAGTAGCTGCCGCCGCAGCCAACCTGTCTGCCTCAGCCTCACCTGCCCGACCGCCAGTCAAGTATTTAAGCCAAAAGCAACAAAATAACAAAATAATAATTGCTCAATGGAGCTGCTTCGCTGCTGCTAGTTGCAGCTATTTGCAGCTTTTTGCAGCTGGCTGCATTTGCTGCAATTATCAAACGAGCATCTTTCACACACTTGGCCAAGGTCGCTGAGTTGCATTCAAATGCAGCGCCAAATCTTGACGTCATCCAAATCTCAAATTACAAAGCGCGCTACATGCGGCGCAGGGGCAATGCCAACTTAATGCAGGGCATGATTCCAAGTTCTCTTTCTATTTTTCCATTTTTTGTTTGTGTTTTCGCTCATTATTGTGCGCAAAGTAAAACTATACAATCGTGCATGCAAATGGGCATTCTAATCTAATTGGTAATTAGTGGCAGGCGCCCAACTTAATAAATTCGAGAGATCAACCTCATGACTTCGTCCATACAGTCTGTCTATAATTTGTACTAAAGCGTGCCACGTAAATATGCTAAAATAGTTGAAATACTAAAATCAAAATAGTTTATTGATGGCCTCTTCAAGAATTGTGCTGAAGTTTGTCGATAGAAATATATACATACATACATATATAAATGTATATATCAAAATGTATATTTTGTTGCTTTATCTTTTTGTTTTTGCTTTGTCTTGGCCTTTTGCTTCCGGCTTATTCTTTGTATCGGTTTTATTCGAATCTGAAGTAGCTCAGCTATCGAAGGCCGTTGGTAATGAGGCAGCTGCCTAAAGCTGGTCCATAATTAGCTGCTCAGCTGGGGAGGTTGGGGGGCGCTCTGCCATTTACGTGGAAAGTCAGCTAACATGCTCTGCATAGCAAATGAGTTTGCTTTGCATCCCAGCGCTGCACAATTGCCAGCAATTTGCCGCTGTGACAGGCCATTAATAAGGAAGCGAAATATCGACGATATGGGCATGTTTCATTTCTATTCCGTCAACATATATACGTAGTTATTTACTAAGCTGATCTTTTGTGTTTGCAGATGGCACCGAACATAATAGGCAGCACCTTTATATTGGCTGAGACGGCCATGGCTGATGCCAATAATAATAAGATGTCAACAGCAGCAGCAACAACAACAACAGCAACAACAACAACAGCAGCAGCGGCTGCGCCCATCAAGGCAGCACCCATGCCGGCAGCTAAGCCGGCCACGCCCCAAACGGATGCCCAGAAAGCGACTGCAGCTGCCGAGCCCTTCAAGACCCAAATCGTCTGGCATAATATTGTGCTGTTCATCATCCTGCACTCGACGGCTCTCTATGGCCTCTACTTGATACCGGCCGAGAGTGCCTACCTCGAAATATTGCCCAGTGAGTAGTCGAACAGACAGCATCCGCCTCTCAAGCGGCATCTAATTCTGCATCTCTGCTTCTCTGTCTCCCTCACAGTTTATCTGTTCTCGTTCTTGGGCGGCTTGGGCATTACGGCGGGCGTGCATCGTTTGTGGTCGCACAAGGCGTACAAGGCGAAGCTACCACTGCGCATCTTCCTCATGCTTTGCCAGTCGCTGGCATTTCAGAACAGCATCTGGGAGTGGACACGCGATCATCGCGTGCACCACAAGTTCACCGATACACACGCCGATCCTCACAACTCTCGCCGTGGCTTCTTCTTCGCCCACATGGGCTGGCTGCTCTGCAAGAAGCATCCCGATGTGCGCGGCAAGGGCAAGCAGATTGACATGAGCGACATTGAGGCCGATCCCGTTGTCATGTTCCAGAAGAAGTGAGTCAAAGACAGGACTGACACAAGTTGAGGCAACGATACTAACTACCACTCTCGCTCTCTCTCTCTCTCTCTCTCTCTTTAGATACTACTTTGTTGTGATGCCAATTTGCTGCTTTGTTGTGCCCATGCTGATACCCTACTATCTGATGGGCACCTCACTGAAGGTCTGCTTCTTCAGCTGCTCGATGCTGCGCTATTGCCTCTCTCTGCACGGCACCTGGCTGGTGAACAGTGCCGCGCACTTCTACGGCATGAAGCCCTACGATGTGAACATCAGCTCCGTCAACTCCAAACTGGTCTCGAACATTACCTTCGGCGAGGGCTGGCATAACTACCATCACGTCTTCCCCTGGGACTACAAGGCAGCCGAGCTGGGCACCTACAATGGCAACTGGACCACAGCCTTTATCGATCTGATGGCCAAGATAGGTAAGCAGACGACCAACTTGTCTCGAGTTGTAGTGCGGTTTTGAAACTATTGTTTATCTCTGGTCAGGCCAAGCCTACGATCTGAAGTACGTGTCCAAGGAGATGGTGTACAAGCGTGTGCTGCGCACTGGCGACGGCTCCCACATTGCCGCCCTGCTGGATGCCAACAACAACTCCAGTGCCGCGCCCACAAACGAGCTGGTGATGCACCTGGATCACGAGAAGGAGGAGAACGCCGTCTGGGGCTGGGACGACAAGGACATCAGCGAGGAGGATCGCAAGCATGCCACCATTGTGAACAGTGTCCAGGAGAGCAAACAGGATTAGACAATGTTTGTGAATTGCGTCCCGCATGGTCTATATAACTCTCGCCGATTTTGATAGATGGGAATACAGTGTTTTCTGGCAGTATATACACATATATACTCCTAATATACGAATGAACGCGTCTGTTATCTATGTCGTGCATTGGACGCAAATACATATTAAAAATGGCTTCAATTCCAAAAAAAAAAAAAAAAAAAAGATCAAGAGACAAAAGAGAAATCTTCAAACCTTAACATATTCGAGATGCGTCCAAAACTTTGTACAGACTATCAAAGCAAACCCAGCAGCAGTTCTACATAGAAGACATATGCATTTTTTTTTATATATATCTACTTAATCGTTCAATGCTGAGCACACACTTGACCCCTATATATACATATATATATACATACATATATCTATGCATAATATGTAACGCCTGAGTTCTAACGACGCAAGTGGATCTAGGCTTAAATGTACTTGATAAGGCTTATGCTTAAGTCTCGATTCTCAAATGGAGAGAGTGTAAATTGTTTGTAATTATTAGGTGTGTAGGATATTAAGCTTTAAGACTCCAATTGTATATTTAATCAGAACAATTTGTAGAAAAACAAAAACAAAATTGAAAACAACAAAAAAAAAAAATTCGCTAAAATTCCAAAAAAATTCAAAAAATTTTATTCATATGCTTTCTTTCGCGCTCAAGAAAAGAAACAATTTATCGCGCGACTTGGACATTTGTCTGGAAATGGAATAAAGATTATGCCTAACGAGCATATATATAAATATATATAACATATATAAAACATTTACTCAGAAAACAATGGGAAATGGTATAACTGATGTATTGATAGATTGTTTCAAAACAAATAATTTGTAATGTATGATAATATGGTGAAGATTAAACGGTATATATATATATATATTTATATATATATATGAAGAGCAATAACAACACAGGCCACAATTGACAAGTTTCAGACAACATGTTTAAGCATATATGATTCTAGAGTTATTTTATATATATAGACCTTATCTATAAGGAATACAATTTTGTTTAAGATTTTCCTTTAAATAAAACATAGATAATTTATATATATAGTACATATTTTTTCTTTATGATTTATGTATAGGCAAACAATAATACCCGATTTCGACATAACTACGATATCTCCTCAATAGGAGTTCAATTAAGGAGTTTAATGCTGAGTCTCTAGCTCGCTCTCAGCTAACCTGGCTACATCTACTATACATTTTTGATTTTTGATTGTCTAGTTAGTATTCTAATTATTCTCTTATAAAAGATCGAGTATATTTCAATTTCTGATCAGACGATTATTTATACATTAAAAACTTGATGTCTCTAGCTTCAATAGGACCGACTGTTGGACGGTCGAGCGAACAGCAAAACAGAACCAATATACTCTTCCCAGTTAATATTTAAATATTTAATGCAGAACAGGGTATCTGCTGGTCATGTACTTCCGCCTTTAGTGCCATTACTGGTTTATTACAGTTATCAAATATGAAATTTAAAGCTACTTTTATTATTAAATTAATATTTATTTTCTGGCTCTGTTTGCTTCAATCATTTCGTATGCTTCGCTTCTTTTCGATTGACTGGGAAGTACCGACAGCTTAAGTGTCATTGTTTTTTCTGTATTTGTTGTTGTCGTTGCTGCTGCTGTATACCAAACTAGTTGTCTGCTGTCTTGTTGCTGTAGTCGCGCGTGCGCCTATACATTTTTAATGAGCTGCGACAAAAAAACGAAAAAAACGTCGCATATTTACCATCCAAAACTTTTGCTGAACTTTCGGGTGAAGTTCTTAATTTAGAAATGACGTAAAATCCTTGAACTCTTAAGAATTTTTAACATATATATATTATATATGAGTATCTAATAAAAATACCTAACATTGCTTTATATTATATTTAATGGTTTTTTGTTTAAGACTTTACCCTTTCTAAAATTAAAATAGCTTAACCTTGAATTTGATGGGAATTGAAATACATATTAGTATATAGGTCAGTTGCAGTGTATAAGTCAAGCGACTTTGCTTTAGATCTATTCAACTTATGTTAAAATCCACTATGTTTTATGCAATACATGGGTGAAGGCGATCAAATCGATTAAGAAAGCAATAACAACAAGTAAGAAGGCTCCAGTCGAGACTGCTCGACTAGGAGATACCCTGAACCCTCCAAACTGATATTCTAATCATTCTGGACTTCTTTTATGCACACATACATACACATGCACGTATAAGCACGCGCTCTGCAAACTGCGCAGCTAGCAGCGGCTGCGCTTGGGCTGCACTGTAGTGTGGGCAATATAATGAGAATTTATTTGTTGAATAATTTCTTTTGTAGACACGATCTTAATGAAACTTTTAGAGCGTAATCATATGGCTAAAATGTGTGTACATTCCAAAGCATAAATCTCTAGTACTTGAAATGCGTTTTTTACAAATTGGGGGCGAAGGGGGCGTGGTATCCAAAATCTGTACATTACAAAATCTTTGCATACATTAACTTTATATACAGCGCAAATTTGAAGTCTCCAGGTCTAAAAGTGTTCAAATTAAGCTGAAAAAACAATGTCGATTTTTCGATTATTCTCGATAAAAAAGTTATCGGATGAGTTATCGAAAAAATAAAGCAAACTTGTACTGCCTATGGTATACACGAGTATGCATGCCAAATTTCAGCTCTCTAGCTCTTATATCTTCTGAGATCCTTTTGCTCATACGGACGGACGGACGGACAGACGGATCAAGAATATATATACTTTATGGGGTCTGCGATGATTCCTTCTGCCTGTTACATACTTTTCACAAAACCATTATACCCTGATTTCCCATTTTCAATGGGTTCAGGGTATAAAAATATATTTGGATTCTGAAAGAGAGAGGACACAGGAATATATTTAACCTGCGAAATTTATAAATAGAAATGTATTCCGAACGATAGAAAAAGTATTTCCTCGCCTTCCAACGCCACGATACTCCCAAATGGAGGAGGCCTTGGTCACTCTCACTCGTAGTACAGTTGCTCTCTCTTTCAAGCTCCCCTCCACACCCATTTGCATTAAAATCCAACTTCAGAAACAAAGGCCGTAGAACGGGAGACAGTCTTTATTGGAAGAGCATTGTTACCAAGCTGGATGAGTATTTGCTTTAATTAACTAAATTAAATTAATTTACGATCAATGGAAGCCCTCGCTATAGCCATAGCTGATATGCTGCGGCTGATTGGCAGCACTGGCGGCGGTGGCCGAGGAGTACGCGTAGAGCATAGCGGCCAGGAAGGCGCCGTTGTTCATTAGGAGCGACATAATGGTGGCCATCTTGAGGGTGGGCAGGATGAAGGGCAGCAGGCTGCCCAAGAGTACGACGGGCAGGACGAGTATGGGCACGGCCACCTGGAGCATGGTCGTCTTGTAGGAATGCTTCTTCTTACGCTTGTTGAGCAGTCCACCGACGCCACCGCCGCCGCCACCGTCTTCGCCGTTGCCGCCCTGACCACCGCCCAGGCCGCCCTTGTGCTTGGAGCTGCCCTCGACCTCCGGCACATAGATCTCACCGCTGGCACTGGTACCGCTGCCGGTCGTGCCACTCGGGCCACCCAAGGTGCCGCCAGTCAGCGCGTGAAGATTCATGAGATGGAGCTCGTCGTCCGTATCGCGCCGGCGTGCTCGGCCCAGGCGCGACTTGATGGCTGCAGAGCATAGACATAGTCAGCGGCAAATATATCTCTTCTGGCGCACATACTCACCCTTCTTTAGGCTAAACTTGAGCTTGTTCTCCTTGCTGGGCACAACCTTCACCAGCATGCCGGGCAGAAAGTGCAGCTTGAGGTCGCGATTCTTGAAGAAGCGCTGAAATCTCTGCACCAGCCGCTGATTCAGCTCCTTCTCCGACATCTGCTGATACTTCTCTGTGATCAGGCTGCCCAGTTGCGTCTCCTGCCCGAAGAACTGATCGAGAAAGTCGCGCGTCACATTGCCCGTCTGCGGCAACTGCTTCCGCTCCTCCAGCTTCTGCAGCACGAACAGCTTCGTGCAGCGCAGCATGCTGAACTCGCGCAGACACTCGTACATTCGCATCGGTATGGTCGAGCCGAAAGTGCGTGTCACGCAGTTCGGGCTTGAGGCATCGCAGGTTTTCAAGGCGCGCTGCAAAGTATGCAACACCAAATTTCACTTTTAACTTTACTATGTGGGCGTGGGAAGCAGTACTACGTGGGTATTACGTGGATTAGTGTAATCTCTTGAGTTTTTCACTGAAGGTTTACACTATTCAGATTAGTCTATCATATAATTAACAATCAACTAAGGTTATTTTACATTTTTGTTCATTTTTATGAAGTCGAGAATCTGTACTTAAAAATGAAATTATTGTATATATGCATTCTTCCAAATAGAGAGGATTTTGGAGTAAGACCTTTTCGTTCCAATCAACTAAAGTACTCATGATTTTCACATTCATACTCTTACTTATTCTTTCTTTTTTTTTGAGATGTTCAGAGTGTAAGTAAAATTACCTGGAGCACAATCTTAAAGTAACTAGATTTTGGTTCGGCATTTGAAATATATACCTATAAAACTTTTGTTCGCTTACTGTAGTATTAAATTGACAACAATTACAATTTATGGATATACTTATTATATAGCTTTGCCTAGGGATACTGATTCACGATTGCGTCTTATTTAAATTTGAATATCGTATTATTTATAGCAATAAATTGAAATAATAAACTTGGATTAAAAATATAACATTTAAAATTTTAATTTTAATTTTTTAATTTTTTACTTTAAGGATATAAAATAAGATATAACTTTCCTTGATAGCTCAGCAATATCACTACGATTCTGATATGTGACCACGATCTTAGGGTGATGAAGTCACAGACTTTGTTTTAATGGACACTTGACCCTATACAGTAGTACTTCAATATATCATACTGATATTATTATTGTATATTATTTCTCGTCATAAATTCTGCTGTCAATGTGACCTAACACTCAACACCAATCTAAATTATTTGATATATATTTTTATGCTTTACCCAATCGAAGGCCTGCGCGAGGCCCACGGCCAGCAGGATATGCACAGCGAGAACAATAACACGCATTGCGAAGTCTGAAAATTGATATCTCGATGTGAGCACAACTGCACGAGAGCAGCAACAGCTTTGAACTGAATGCATCAGCCAGATCGCGGTGGCTGCCAGTGGCCGTCGATCCTGGTGGCCAAGCGCGGCACAGCCAACTGGTTTCACCAAGAGCGGCCAGTGGCGATCGAGCTCTCGCCAATTTAGTTTAGCAGGTCACACTGGCTGGGGCCATGGCAGTGGCTGCAGTCTCTTCTGGCTATCGGCGGTGCATCGTTGGCCCCTTTTGGCTGAGTTATAGTCGGCCCAGTTGCTGATACGTACCAATTTTCAATGTCAAGAGTCAAAGAAAACAAAAAGAAGAGCGAAGTGTTAACTGGATTATCGCACGATTTAATGATTGTTATTTAAAGCGTGCTGTCAGCTCTTATCAGTGACAGCCTTATCAGCACTTAGTTAAGGCCGAGCTGCGGGCAGGTGGCGGGGCAGTTGTTTAGAAACTTTGAAATTGTCTCAAAGTGGAACAATTGCAGCCGGACTTAAACTGGTTGACAATTGTATTGGCAGCGCCTTAATTAGCCGCACTGCCAATCAAGTGAGAGTTTTATTAATTAGTCGCCTGTCCATAATGAGATCTAAGTGCTAGAGAAATTCAATAATTATTTTCGATCATTTTTTTCCTCTTCGATTTGCGACCCAATTCGATTATCGGCGGGGGCGGGACTTTCTATCACGTTTAAAAAACTGGAGCCGACGAAAGAACCGTAAATCATGACCCACCTGAGCTGCATACTAATCAGGAGGTGATTTCACTTTCCATCAAAGACAACAACAAACAAATATTTGATTTCGTTAAATAATTGCGTTGTGTATTAAATAAATAAATTATTGTATGTGTGTGTTTGTGTTGCTGTTTGGTAAATAGATAATTTAAACTAGACTTAAATTATTATTTGGTTGCATGCTCGCTCGCTGAGGTATTCTGTGGCCTGCGACCAGCTCCAGCCCATTCAAATTACCACTCCTTCTCCAGCCACACGGGCTGCTGGGTATGCGAGTGGGAGTAGACGACGGGCACGGGTGCGGGTGCGGCAGCGTAGGCGGCGGCGGCCTGGACGGGCAGAGCACGGGAGAGCATCTGGCCAATAGCCAGCACCAGCAGAATGACACCGACGCCCAGGCCCTTTATCGAGACGACAGTCAAGGCGGCTAGCAGGGTGGTGATCACGCCCACAACAAATGCGCCCGGCACCAGGGCGAAGCTGATGCGGCGCAGGAAATGATGACCGAAGGTGCGACTCTCTGTTTACAATAATATAAATTATATACTATATATATGAGATGATCTAGCTCAGCTCTAGCTACTAACCAGTCACATCGGAGTCATTGCTGGCCTGCTGGCAGAGCACCAAATCGCAGAGCAGACAGAGACCGAGCAGCGTGATTGCAAATTTCTGAGCGGCAGCCATTTTGTTGATGCTCTTTAAACCTGAGTGTATAATCCGTAATGCGATCTGCTCAATGCGCCCAATGTAGACGGTACCAGTGCTGGCTGACAATTGAATGTGCTGTCCACATTGACATTGGCTTTTATCTGAGGGCTGAGGTCTGGGCCATTGGCTACTTGAAATTCGACAGCCGGACGTCGCACGAACGTGCGCCAAACAAGCAATTCGTGCCGCTGCCGCCATGCGGAATGTCGCGCCGTTCGATGACCAATCTTACAACGGGTCAGTATACCCTAGGGACTGAGGGAAATGGCTGTCAAATGGTATGGCTGGGTCTTGGGACATATGAAATAGGCGGAAGTTGATATATCATGCGCTGTTTTATCAAAGTTGAATCGATAGATATCGTTTGTGTTTATATGATAATTATCGATAATTATCGATCGACTGGTTGTTAAATTCTGTTTACTTAAGAGCTGGATTGAATCAGCTGCCTTTTGACAGAGATTGGTAGCATAACAATTTTTGTTTAGAGTTAAAGTTTAGTTAAAGTTTCATTTACGTCAATATAAATCTACAATAAATTTAGATATCAAAAACCTATCGATAACTTTATTTGATTATATAAGTATGATATATATGTCGATATATATAACTTGCAATATTTTTCTATATACAATATATAGTTTAATTTGTTAAGTTAGTTCTATATTGATAATGATTGATAACAGACTCAATATCGGTATACATATCATTCAAGCTGAATTTGTGACTGTTTCAAAGGTTGAGCTCCATTCAGGAAAGGTCTTCAGTTGATGTTCAAAGCAGAGACTTTGCTCTAGACGTATTTATAAAAGTTTCTTTTCAACTTGTCTATAGGGCATCTACTTGTCGTTCAATGCTTACTATATCGCTTATGTTTTATATCATATTTTTATTTTGAATATGCATAGCTATCAATGATTTTCACTCTGCAACTCGGCGGTGGCAACTGCGTGCCCTTTAAGGTGCAAGCGCTGAGACTCACATTTGGATTTTCATTTGGCTTTGGCTTTGGCTTTGGTCATGTTGCACTTGGGTGCTCAGATTGAAAAACTTTGGGACATGGGCATTCTTTCACGACGCGTGTCTATATATTGAGGGCAGCTGCCGACAAATAGACGGAACCATTCGCTTTCATTTCTTCTTTTGTTTTTGCGTGTACATATATATATAAACATATATGAACAATATTGATTTATCAGCTAATTGACAAAAGGCAATGCATTTTAATTATCAATGCGTACCCATTGATAAATATATATGTGTGTGAGTGCAGACATACTTTTGGTAGGCATTGTTCAAGTCCACAATTCACTTTCATTACAACCTGCAAAAGCCCTCAAAACGTGTCTAGCCTCTAAAAAGACTGATCCATAATACAAGATTGTGATCTAGTATTATGAAGTGAATTACTTAAAAAGCGTACTCCGTACAAATTCTATTGTATATACATAAGTACTGCTCTTTAATAGTTGATAAGATAAGTTGAATCTAAGCTCTTCTAATAATTCGCTTATCTATTGAAAACTTCAATTTGCTATTGTTTTTTATAGAAGATAATGATTTTTTATTATAATCTCCTATCGGCCTATACCTTATCTCATATAGACTTGGCGTCTTAAATACGCTGATGAGTTTGTCAATATTTTTCTAGAGGAATTTCCTTTGTTAATAAAATTACAGTAAATGTATTGAAATAAATATTTCCATGGAATTTACTTCTCTATACTAAATTCCATTACTTTCTCTATATCTATCTTTTTTTTTTTTTTTTTTTTTTTTTTTTTTAATTTTTATCAAACATAATTTTGTTTTTTTTTTTTTTTTAAATATTTTTTTGTGACAAATTGCTATGCATAAACAAAACTGTAAATACATCAGGCTCAGATCAAATTTCCAAATTACCTAGAATCGATTAGCAACGAGTTTAGATAAACGGCATTAAGTTATGTGAAAGTCGTTAGTTAGTGGAGAGACCAAATATGTTAAGCGGATTCAATAGCAATGGCAGAATTTACTTTCTAGCCTGGATTTCAGATACAGTTGTTGGCGACGCGAGACACCCGCTCCTAGCTCAATCAGAGCAATCGCAGAAGCTGGAGCAGAAATAAGATGGAGAAGCTGCAGTAGTAGAAGAAGCAGGAGAAGAAGCAGTGCATTTGCCAGGCAATTCTGTCAACAACTTTCTCATGCGATAGCCGTCAGAGCTAATTGTCTCTGGTTATGGCCAAAGAATTACACGAGCGACCGTTAGCAGTCAGAGCAGGAGAGCAGCCCGCCAGACTACTTAACGTTTTCATATTATTTATGGCCAAGACGCACGCTGGTCAATTACAGCTGAAAGAAATTCAATAATGGAGATCAATGAGAAATTGCAGGCCTACTCCAGATATCTATCGTGTTTGCACTGCGGGCCAACAATGTTTTGACCACAATTCAATTGGGGAAGATTCTGAATCGGCGTCGTGTTACACTGCTTCTGCTTCTTCTTCTTCTTCATGATCTTCTTCTTGGCTATCCAGTTGTGCCGCAAGATGTTGCAAGCGCGTTGTCAGTGACACAGTCTTAAGCTGGCTGTGCCCAATTCCAATACCAATTCCAAATCTGGTCTTGGCTTTCCTCGCAGCATGTTCTGCCACTGCGACAGCAATTGCTGCTGCTGCTGTTTTTGCTGCTGCTGCTGCTGCTGTTGTTGCTGCTGCAACTTGTGCAGCTGAGTTGATAAAATGCATGCGGCACGCCGATCGTGCCACATTTTGTGACTGGCCAGCGTGTGGTGCGCACACACTCAGTATTCAGTGCAACGATTCTTCTCTCTGACATGCACCAAAGATGAGCCGCTTTGTGAGTTTGTTAACGTTTCTCGCGCTGTGCGCCACCTTGGCCGGCAGCCAGCAGCAGGACACGGGCGAGACGACCACTGCTGCCTCGGAGGAGGCTGCGCGCGGTCTGGCAAGCAGCTATGAGCCGGAAGATAGGCCGACGCAGCGGAGGAACTCCCACATCTACATGGGCATCTATAAGAACTACAAGAGTACCTATCTGGGCAATAAGACGACCAGCGAGTATCGGAAGCGATTGCGTGAGCGAGTGAGTGCTGCGCACCTAGCCAACAATGAGGCGATTGAGGAGCCGGCCACTGAGGGAGATGAGTACCTGGTGCAGCGACAGCAGCAGGAGGTGGCCATCGATGATGCACTGGCGCAGGAGCTGCGCAACGAGGCGAATGCCGAGGCGCTGCTGGAGGCACAGACCGATGCACCCGTCTATGATGAGAACGAGACGGCGGCGGGCAAGAAGCGGCGCAAGCGCAAACGCAAGAACCGTAACAATGTAAAGAAACTGGATGAGCAGCTCCCGGAGGCAGAGACCGAGTTGGATGAGGAGCCCAACGAGGAGGCGGACAACGTGGAGCGCTACCATGTGGGACCCGGTCTCAATGTCAGCCTCGACATGAGCAACGATATCGTGCGCGTGAAACTCGACGGCGAGAACTTAAAGGAGATACTCGCCGCGCGCTGGCTGACCGCGGATAACAGCGAAGAAGGTGAGTTCAAAGGCAATTGGAGATTATAGTAACGAGTAATACATTTTTACCTGCAATTACATCTAGGTCGCGGCAAGAAGTATGATATGATGACCAAAGTGTTGCCGCTGTTCATCTTACCTTTTCTCATCCAATCGGCGATTGTGCCGTTCCTGGTTACCAAGCTGAAGCTGCTGCTGGTCAAGTCCATTTTGGTCGGCAAGCTGGCCATATTCCTGCTCATCATATCGGCCATCAAGAACAGCAACAAAATGATGCAGTCCTACGAGGTGGCGCCCTCCTATTGGGCCAGCGAGCCCAGCCGCAGATCCGAGCTGGCGGCGGCTGCCTCATCCGCGTCAGCTGCCTACAATGGATACCGAGTGGAGGGCAAACCCACTGCCTGGGTCAACTAGAGACAGGGAGAGAGAGAGGGAGCGGGAATTAGTGAGAGAGTTTAGACAGCTAGTTGATTAAACAAACAAAAGACACAAATTGCAATAAGTTTCGCATTAAGTTATAAAATATGAAAATAAAATAAAAACAAATCTGGTGCGTCGCTGTGTTTTATTTAAAATATTAAAAAATAGCTAGAAAATGAGCGTCAGTAGTAAAACAAAATTAATATTCAAAACAAAAACCCAGTCAGATTGCTTTAGACGGGTGCGCTTGACTAGAAAATAGATTACACCATTGCACTCAACTTTCAATCACTCTTCTTCTTCTTCTTCTACTTTTATACATATCTTTTTAGTTGACAATTCTAAAGTTTTAAGAGCCTATTAATTATATTCATATGTGTAGTGTGTGGCACGAAAAATGAAATTTATAAATTTATTATAAATTTATTGGAAAATTGTATGATATTCAAATTCCAAATTATAAGCAAAATCGGTGAATTCATTATAATTCATAACAAACAAAAAAATCTTTAAAAAAAACCAAAAAAAAAAAAAAAAAAAAAAAAATAACAAATTATATTAAGAATTGAAAATTCAAAGATGTACAAAGGAAAATGTAGATTGACCCAGGTGCTTGCCAAGCGTCAAGAATTTACATAAATACTTTACGCTTCCTTCTTCAGAAGTTAAGATCGTCAAAGAAACTCTAAGTTCATTAAAAAGAATCTAAAATTCACTCACTCAAATTCTAATTTTTCGAAGCACCCTCATTTGCTTACTACTAAAATATGAAATTATTTATAGCTCAAATATGTTGCAGTTAATATATTTGCTATATTTATAACATTTACAAATTAGTAATGCGCGTTTTTGTTCAATTTGTTTGTGCCTCTGAGCTGATAAGATATTAGAAATTAGATATTAGATATTAGACAATGACTATAATTCGATTAACGCATGACATCAACATTAGATGGCCTGGCACTGATTAGATATTCGACTAACCAATGTAATTACCGTATGACATCAACTTTACGTTCAGTCTGACGAATATACCCAATTCAAATGTTAAATGATTTCTGCACACTAATAATTTAGATTTACGTATTTTTATTGTTCGTTATTATTGTTGTCAATAAATTAGAGTTATGCATATATAAATTAGCTTAGGTCTAACTAAATAATTGCAGCTGTGGCTGGGATCAACCAGCGCCCTCAATTGGATAAGTCTCGCTCTCTCTCCCACTCTCTGTGGCTACCTCTCTCGTTCTCGCTCTCGCTCTCACTCCCTCTCTCTCTCTCTGTCTGCTTAGTAGCAGCTGTAGTGCCTTTCCAGCTGAATGCAAACATCACATTGCAGGCGAAAGCCCCAGACCAGCTTGCAGTTGCAGCGCCGTTCGCTGCGCAGGTGCTGGGATCGCACGCGGAATCCACAGACGCGGCAGAGCTGCTGGCAGGAGAGGCGCTCGTCGGCAGTGCTACCCGTGTGCTTGGAGCACTGGCGTCCACGGGTGCCCGTCCAGCGCCCGCTCGCCTCCGGCTGGCAGTAGTTGGGCGAGTCCAGCATATAGACAAGCGAGTCGAGCGGTATGTTCTCCCACATGATCTTCAGGTTGCTGGCGGTCGTGTCCAGCTGTATGGCGTCGTCGTACATGTTGAGCAAGTCCTGGGCAATCGACTCGAATGGCTTGAGCACCTGCACGCACTTCTTCTCCAGGCAGCTGCCTTGTGGACTGTGTTGGATGCAGCGGCATTCCTGCTCCAGCGACTTCTCCAATAGCGCGCCCACCACGCGCTGATTGTGGCCCAAAGCTCCGGAGCCCACGCCATAACGCTGCTCGTACAGCTGTATGGCTTTGGCTGGCTCATGGGCGCAGGGCACGTTGAGGGCGCTGTCGGTGCAGCCGCAGCCGGCGATGACGCCATTGGCACAGTCCTTGGTGAGCGTGTGCAAGATGGAGGCCAGGGAGATGGCGGCCACATAGACATCTTCGCGGTCCAGCGCCTGGGCTGGAGTTGGTGACGTGCGACGCCTGATAAAGTCTTGGTTGGGGCAATTCCAGCGCTGCCACTTGAAACTCCGCTGACAACTGGCGATGGCCTGGTCCAAGCTGCTGCTACTGATGGCCTCCCAGGAGAGTGGCGCCTGGAACTGTGTGTACTGGTAGTAGTTCAGTGGCTCCGTCAGGCTGGCAGCCGTTGCACTGCTCGCCAGGCTCAAGAATATTTGTATGATATAAAACATGGTGTTCTCTGGGTGTGTGTGTGTGTTCTCGTTGCTGTCGTTAGGTCGACTGTGTCCTGGCTGGAGCCAACCGCTCGGTTTTATACCCAGTGTAGGAATTGTGGGCCGTGGGAAATACGAGACAAGATCAAAAAACCGGAAATTTGCCTTTTTCCACTTGGGACTTTTTCATGAACAGAAGAAACTCCCAGCGCGCCGCACAAATAACCCAACAGATCTCGGCGATCCGACGCAATTGCGGAGCAGCCCAATTTCGTAGCGCTCTACCTGTGTGGCAAGACGACTCGGACGATGTTGGCCGTCGTGTCATCAACTTTCCCACGCTTAGGCAGGTAGATGTCCTGCGGCGCCTGAGCTCATGAATGAAACTCAATCGATTCCATTCAGTTTTACGGACTTACCCAACTTCCCGTACTCTGGCTGCAGTCCCTCGTCCCTGTGTTTTGCCAACTCGGCTGGCAAAGCCAATTATATAACAAAACATATGACAAATAATACAATTTGGAAAATTAATTGCGCTTTGCGGTAAGCTGTTTGAGAATCCTGCTAACAGTTAACAGCCTGCCAGACCAAATTCGTTGTCCTGGTATTACCGGATCTCTCGATGCGGCCCGAATGCCATGAGTCAATCATCGAGTACAAAAAAATTCACTATCAATATATCATCAGGAATTAACACGCTTTTACGATTTAATCGGAAAGCAAAGGGCGTATGAGAGTAGATGGGAAAACGTATTGGGCGAATACCCTGTAGGCAATGAAACGGGGTTGTACCGGGGGTACAATGGGTGCACACGTGTTAGCCATAAATTGAAGGCTAATAACTCCTATGTATCATCTATAAATGAATAGAGTTCTGGTGAATAAAATGTATAGAGTGTCTACAGATGCCTTATAGGTCATCTCATAGTCAGACTTATCGATCATCATATGATTCGGCAATATATATTCATGTAATATTGATAACAATAAAGCTTACTCATATCGCTCGTCTATCTAATCCCAATTTATAGCACCACTTGAAGAGGACTGGCAACAATATTATTGCGAAACATCTATAAATTTGTTGAGAGCGAGAATGAGAGACTTCCTTTTAATGGGTGGCACACTTTTTCCTAGTGGTAAAGTCATTGTCTTACATTTCCCCAGTCGTCCCGCTTAAAAACATGCGTGGAAATTTCTTGTTTTGGGTTTTAACACAATGAAAATACCAAAAACTCGCTATCTCTAATTAGGCCGAGAATTCCGTACCGGAAAAGGGTTTTTTAAGTACCTAAGGCGCCGGGGTAAGTACACAAAAACGAAAGCCGATCCGATCGATCGATCAGGTAGTCAAAGATTGGTCAATTGGTCTTACAAGAGATATATATTTACATATAGGTATATACACATATGGGCGCCGGCGCTAGGGAAAGTTACGATGCTGGCGCTGGGAGTTTCTCGAAAAATGTTCCTCGAAATATTGGAAATTCGCGCAGATTTTTGGCATTTCTCAAATCTAATCAATGCGTAAAAATTGAGTCCCGCTAATACGGCCATTTGGAATGGAGTGGCCCGTAAATAAGCTGGATCATTAAAAATCTATAGATACACAGAGTGACAGACTGAGTGAGAGAGAGAGAGAGAGAGACTTGTGATAGCGATTAGATTAGCAACGAGATATCAGTTCTCGGGCTGATGGTTACCTCTCGCTAGTTGTCCGTAGTTAGCACTTAGTTGCGATTTGAATGTCGCCCGTTTTGGATTAGCCCGCATCGTTCACGTCAATATGATAATAACTGCTAAGGTGGTTAGCATTTGTCTGGGCGTGGCACTCACTGCCTTCACCATCTCCACAATCGTGCTGGCCGTGCAAAAGGCGAATTTGACGGCGGACTTGCGCGATGCACAGGAGAAATTAGATCAGCTCGAGGCTGGCTTCACGTCCACCACGGCTGTACCCAGTTCCCCGACTGAGAGCACCACTGTGGAGCCGGGCCCCACAGAGCCGCCGGAGAAAATTGACTATCGTCTGCCGACTGCATTGACACCCACAAACTATGATCTCTATTTGTATCCGAATATCGAGACGGGTGAGTTTACGGGCGAGGAGACAATTAGCATAACCGTGAACGATCCTACGGATAAGATAGTACTACATTCGCTAAACTTGAATATCAAGAGTGCGCACGTCTATCAGGCGATGGAGCCAACCATTGCGGTCAAGGACTACGAGTTCGATGCGATTCGCGAGTTTCTCATCATTCACTTGACCCAGGATCTGGCCAAGGGTGCAACTGTATTGCTCACCCTCGAGTTTTCCGGCAATATGGAAAATAAAATTGTTGGCCTGTATAGCTCGTCCTATGTGAAGGCCGACGAAAGCCGCAAAAAGATAGCCACCTCCAAGTTCGAGCCGACCTATGCCCGCCAGGCGTTCCCCTGCTTCGATGAGCCCGCCCTGAAGGCCACCTTCGAGATCACGTTGGTACATCCGAAGGACGGCGACTACCATTCGCTCTCCAACATGAATGTGGAGGATCAGCTGGAGAAGGACACTTACACAGAGGTGCGGTTTGCCAAGAGTGTGCCGATGAGCACCTACCTCGCGTGCTTCATTGTCTCCGACTTTAAGTCGAAGACAGTGAAAATCGATACGAAGGGCATTGGCGAGCCCTTCGACATGGGCGTCTATGCCACACCCGAACAGATAGAGAAGGTCGACTTTGCCACGACGGTGGGCAAGGGCGTCATTGAGTACTACATCGACTATTTCCAAATCGAGTACCCGCTGCCCAAGCTGGATATGGCCGCCATACCCGATTTCGTGTCGGGCGCCATGGAGCACTGGGGTCTGGTCACCTATCGAGAGACGTCTCTGCTGTACGAGGAGGCCACCAGCTCCACGGTGAACAAGCAGCGCGTCGCCAGTGTGATAGCCCACGAGTTTGCGCACATGTGGTTCGGTAATTTAGGTATGTCCACTCCAGATAAGCGGGGGGATAAGCTCGGCTAATATTTCATTTCGTTTCGATTTTATATTCGGTCTGCTATCAGTTACTATGCATTGGTGGAATGATTTATGGCTGAACGAAGGTTTCGCCAGCTTTATTGAATATCTGGGCGTGGATTCCGTCTTTCCCGAATGGAATATGGCAAGTCTTGGCGTTATAAATAACTTTCTATTTTTATTATGTGGGCTTAGTCTAATTTTATTTCTTCTTCCAGCGGGATCAATTTATTGTGAGCACTTTGCATGCAGTGTTCAACCTGGATGGCACTCTGGGCTCACATCCCATCATTCAGAAGGTTGAGAATCCAGATCAGATAACAGAGATCTTTGACACCATTACGTATTCCAAAGGCTCCTCGCTGGTGCGCATGTTGGAAGATTTTCTGGGCGAGACAATCTTTCGCCGAGCGGTTACCAATTATCTAAATGAATACAAATACCAAAACGCCGTAACGGACAACTTCTTTGCCGAGATTGACAAATTGGGGCTGGACTTTAATGTGACGGACATCATGCTGACATGGACGGTGCAGGTGAGCATGTGCTGTGGATTGATGATGATGATGATCGGCTAGTTGTGCAGCAAGCTTCCCGATTTACATACACATCTCTAACCCAATTTTTATGGCTGCCGTGTTTTAGATGGGTCTGCCGGTAGTCACGATCACCAAGGTTACCGATACTGAATACAAATTGACACAGAAGCGTTTCTTGTCCAATCCAAATGACTATAACGTGGTGCATGAGCCCTCGGAATTCAAGTAAATTTTCTAGTGTTATCTTTTGTTGATTTTTTGTCTCTCGATGCTCACACATATATTATATGTACGATTGCAGCTATCGCTGGTCCATACCCATCACATATACGACCAGCCAAGATCCCACGGTGAAGCGCGAATGGTTTTATCACGATAAGAGCGAAAGTAAGTGACCAAATCGATTTGCATTGCTTATCTTATCGTTTAAATCGTTAATGTTTTTCCTTTCTATACAGTCACTATAACCGTGCCCACGGCTGTAAATTGGATCAAGTTCAATTACGATCAAGTGGGCTATTATCGCGTCAACTATGATCAGTCCCTCTGGGCGTCGCTGGCCGATCAGATGGTGGCCAAGCCAGAGGCATTCAGCGCCGGCGATCGCGCCTCCCTGTTGAACGATGCCTTCGCCCTGGCCGATGCCACGCAGCTGCCCTACGAGATTGCCTTCGACATGACCAAGTACTTGGACAAGGAGGTGGAGTATGTGCCCTGGAGCGTGGCAGCTTCCAAGCTGACCTCGCTGAAGCACACTCTCTTCTACACCAGCAGCTATGCCAAGTTCAAGAAATATGCCACAACTCTGATTGAGCCGATTTACACGTCGCTCACCTGGACGGTAGGAGAGGACCACTTGGATAAGTAAGTGGGGTTTTCATAGAACCAGAGCTGAGGGGAATTACGATGGATTTTCTTTAATCTAATCAGGGAGTTATTGAAGAATGGGAGAAGAGGTAGCTTCGCATAGAAATAGGAATATAGAAAATTTACGATTTATCGATTACTTACTAAAGTAATGTATATCGATAGCTGGGCTTGGGATACTTATCAGTATTCTTCCTTCTTTATCCACTTAATTCTATCTGTCTTTCTCAATTCTCTTCCTCAGCCGCCTACGTGTGACCGCCCTGAGTGCGGCTTGTTCGTTGGGTTTAGAGTCCTGCTTGACTGAGGGCGGTCAACAGTTCAAGGCCTGGCTTGCCACGCCCGATACGCGACCCAGTCCTGATGTGCGCGAGACTGTCTACTACTATGGTATGCAGTCGGTGGGCAACCAGGAGATTTGGGATACCGTCTGGGAGCTGTTCGTCAATGAGGCCGACGCCAGTGAGAAGTCGAAGCTGATGTATGGCCTGGCCGCCGTGCAGGAGCCTTGGCTGCTGCAGCGCTACATTGATCTGGCCTGGAATGAGGAGTATGTGCGCGGCCAAGATTACTTCACCTGCCTGACCTACATCTCGGCCAATCCCATGGGCGAGTCGCTGGTATGGGACTATGTGCGCGAGCACTGGCCGCAGCTGGTGGCCCGCTTTGGCCTGAACGAACGCTACTTGGGCAATCTGATACCATCGATAACGGCGCGATTCCACACTCAGACCAAGCTCGAGGAAATGGAACAGTTCTTTGCCAAGTACCCAGAGGCGGGTGCGGGCACAGCAGCGCGCGTGCGTGCCCTGGAGACAGTCAAGAACAACATTGTGTGGTTGGCCGAAAATCTCGAAAGCGTCGATGCCTGGCTGGAGCAGCAACAGCGACTGAACTAGCCCCAAGCACCTGACCAACTGGGGCAATCGTAGTGGACGTGCTCACAGAACAGAGTCACAAAGTTTTTTTTAGCCATAGAATTACCATTGTAAAGATTAGAGAACTGCAGAGAAACACATAAATGACAATAAAGAAATTTTTAAAATGGATATCAGAATAGCTCTATAAACCAGATATGTGGAAGAGTGTTGGACACAGGGTGAAGTCATGGGACAATGTTGCCTATGAAAAATAAAAAAACTTAAGAATAGGCGAAAAGCATGAAATTATGTCATATGTTTCCCAGATTCAGTCTGTTTCGATAATATATATCTTAAAATTATTTGATTTACATATATGAGTGCGGCTCAAATCTTAAAAAATCGATTTATTAATAATAATTACACATGTGATCAATTTAGCGTGATTCTGGATCATTATTTATCGATCAGAAGATATTAGTTATAAAAACAGAATTTGATAAGTTTATCGTATACGTAATACTAAAAGAAGAATGAATATAATGAGAATGAGAAGAAGACAAATAAGAAAGAAGGCAATGAAGGTTAACTCTAATGTTCAATTCAAGCAAAGTTGCTCTTCGATATTTATCGATATGTTCGAATTTAAATTTATATGAAGAGATATACGATATACTCCCATTAAATTTGTGTTTCAAAATCTATATATACCGACAAAAACAATCAATTGTAATGCATATAATAGGCATGTAATGCGAAACGAATTAATTTAAATGGGAATTTGAGTGTGAAACTTTTCTGAAGCTTAAGTAAAACCGCATATGTATATTGAATATATTAATCAATATAATATTTTCAGTTGGTGCTGATAGCTGTTTTATTATGAGCCTCAAACCGAGGAGAAAGACAGTATTTATCTTATCCCTAGGTATCTCTGGTATTTATGAGCATATATTAATTTAGTACGTCACATATATTATGTTCAATCGTGCGCCGATATCTATATTTGTCTCGGGTGTGACAGTCAATATTCAGTGAAGAATCGTCTGCCGATATCTGCAATATATTTGCATCGGATGTGACAGCTAACATTCTCATAAACATGCAAATCAAATTAGTTTCTGTCAATCGAGTCCGCTTATCGCAAGTGTTAACACGACACACAAAACAGCTCAAAAAAGTGTCCGAATATATATTATCCAACTCTATCGGCTCTATTTGTGGGAGTTCGACAACTGACGGCAAATAGCTTTTAGTTTCAGTTGTACGCGCATTATCGCCCTTGTTGGCAATAAAATTCTATCAAGTGCCCACAATCAAATTGAATTACTGGGAGGCAAACCGAAAAACTATGGTTACAGTCGATTAGTATATTCATAGCTGAATTGTGACCAACTTCTTCAGTTAGCGATCGTCGGTCGAGGCATCAAGATGTTTTCGAACGGCTATGGATTAAGCGTGTTTCTGCTCTTCGCCGTTATGGTCTTCCTTGTGGGGGCAGATCTGCGAGATATGAGGGAGAAGATTGATATATACGAGACGCCAAACGATACGCAGATCTACAGATCTAGAAGAGCAATGCGCGGAACTAAAGAGGAGGTGGGTCTTACTAGCATCAGGAAGTGTTTCACTTAGCTCATCAAGCATCAAATATCATTCAAGCAGATCGACTACCGCCTGCCCAAAACGGTTAAGCCCTCCAGCTATGAGCTGTATTTGCATCCAAATTTGGAGGCGGACACCTTTATGGGCCAAGAGAAAATCCGTATCAATGTGCTAGAGACAACCAATCAAATCGTCTTGCACTCACAAGACCTGGTCCTGACCAGTGTCTATGTAATGAATCACGAGGTGGAGAACTACGAGTTGGATGAGCTGCGTCAGTTGCTGATTGTCAATATGAAGGAACCCCTGGCCGCGAATGTCGTCGTCACGCTGGGCATCGTCTTCGAGGGAAAGTGGTTGGGCAAACTGGAAGGACTCTACAGCAGCAGCTACTCAACGCCCGCGGGACAGCGTCGGTATGTAGAGTGAATTCTCTTCAATTGTGAGAGAGCCTAAAAGCATGCCACAACTTTATAGCAAAATTGCGACGACCAAGTTTGAGCCAACCTATGCCCGTCAGGCGTTTCCCTGCTTCGATGAGCCCGCTCTGAAGGCCACCTTCACTATCAGCGTGGTGCATCCCAATTCCGGCTCTTATACAGCGCTCTCGAACATGAACGAGGAGGTAATACGCCATTCCTCTCAATTTTTTGATTTCCCCTCACATAACAATTTCTTGACAGGATTCCATGAATCTGGGCGAGGAGTCAATGGTCACTTTTGCCAGCAGCGTCCCAATGAGCACTTATCTCGCCTGCATCATTGTCTCCGACTTTGACTCACAGACGGGCACGGTCAAGGCCAACGGAATCGGAAACGATTTTACAATGCGCGCCTTTGCCACGCCTCATCAGCTGCATAAGGTGAAGTATGCCTTAGATTTTGGCATTGCTGTCACCGAGTACTATATCAAATACTTCAACGTGGAGTACCCGCTGCCCAAGCTGGACATGGCGGCCATACCGGACTTTTCCTCCAATGCCATGGAGCACTGGGGTCTGGTCACCTACAGAGAGACGGCGTTGCTCTATGACGAGAACTACAGTTCCACGCTGAACAAGCAGTCCATTGCTGGTGTGCTGGCCCATGAGATAACCCATCAGTGGTTTGGCAACCTGGTGACCATGAATTGGTGGAACGACTTGTGGCTAAACGAGGGATTCGCTCGCTTCATGCAGTACAAGGGCGTGCACGCAGTGCATTCGGACTGGGGCATGGTAAGCTAGTGCAGCATAAATTCTTAATATACTTTTCTTTATCTCCTTTCGCACTCATTCCACTTTTAGCTGGAGCAATTTCAAATATTGGCTTTGCAGCCCGTGCTCGTCTACGACGCCAAACTGTCCTCGCATCCCATTGTGCAGAAGGTGGAGTCTCCGGATGAAATTTCGGCCATCTTTGATACGATCAGCTATGAGAAGGCGGGCTCTGTGCTGCGCATGCTGGAATCCTTGGTGGGCTCCGAGAAGTTTGAGGCTGCTGTAACGAGCTATCTGACCAAATTCAAGTACGCCAATACCGTCACGGATGACTTCCTCACTGAGGTGGCTGCCCAATTCAGCGATTTGGATGTGAAGCTATTGATGCGCACCTGGACAGAGCAGATGGGCTATCCGGTGCTGAATGTACGGCGTGTCGGTGAGACTGATTTTATGATCGAGCAACAGCGGTTCCTCTCCAATAAGGACAGTTACGACGTGGTGGTAGATCCCGTTGAGTTTGGCTACAAGTGGACCGTGCCTGTTACCTACATTCTGGACAACTCACCGGTCACTGAAGTCAACAGTCGTGTTTTTGAGTACAATCAAGAAACGTTGGATATTGAGGTACCAACGAGTGCCAAGTGGATCAAGCTGAACGTACGTCAGTTGGGCTACTATCGCGTCAACTACGAGTCCAGCATTTGGCAAGCTCTCATCCAGCAGCTAATTACTCAGCCGACGCGTTTCGACGTCGCGGATCGAGCTCATCTACTGAACGATGCTTTCGCCCTGGCCGATGCCAGCCAGCTCTCGTACAGAGTGCCCCTGGAGATGACCGCCTATCTGCCCGACGAGCGTGACTTTGTGCCTTGGTATGTGGCTAGTAGTGGACTGTTTTCGTTGCGGGATCAGCTCATGTTCACCGATACCTATGTTGACTATATGAGCTATGCACGCACCCTGCTGACGAATGTCTACAACCAGGTCGGCTGGACCGTTGAGCAGGATAACCATTTGGGCAAGTGAGTAGCAGCTGAGAAAGTAAACTATATAGATCTGACTCTCTCTGTCTCTCTTTCTCTCTTTCCCTCTTCAAGTCGTCTGCGCATGTCTGTGCTGAAATTAGCCTGTGCACTGGAGTTAAAGGATTGTCAGGAGCAAGCAGAGCAACGCTTCACCAAATGGCTCAACGCACCAACTGCGGAAAATCGTCCAGCGCCCGATCTGCGCGAGGTAGTCTACTACTATGGCATGCAGCAGGCGAGCAACGAGAAGAACTGGGAGGCGCTGCTGGAGCTGTTCAAGGCGGAGTCCGATGCCAGCGAGAAGTCGAAACTGATGTATGGTCTGTCCGCTGTGCAGGACGCTCAGCTGCTTTACCGTTTCTTGGACCTGGCCAGCGATGAGACTATTGTGCGCTCCCAGGACTATTTCACCGCTGTGGAAAATATCGCTAACAATCCTGTAGGCCTGCCCATTGTATGGGACTACTATCGGGAGAATTGGCCCACTCTAGTCGCACGCTTTGGCCTTAACAATCGCAGTTTTGGCAGATTAATTGCCAGAATAACGAGCAAATTTTCCAGTGAACAAAAGCTGCAGGAGGTGGAGTCATTCTTCCTTAAATATCCAGAGTCGGGAGCCGGCGCTTCGTCCAGGCAGGAGGCGATCGAGACCATCAAATATAATATCAATTGGCTCAAGGCGAATAAGAACGATATTGCCAGTTGGCTGGGCGGTTCGCCTTCCCCAATGACCTCTAAATACCCATTGTAAAATACGAAAAAATTTTCCCATATCCAATAAATGTCGATTCACCAAAAACATTTCCTCAATTATTCAGGGAATTGCATAATTAAGAGCCTATAAATCAATAAACGTTAACCAGAGCCAATAAACCTTTGCATGCATTTTATTGAAGATATCCCGAGTGGCGATTTTGATAGCATCAATAACTTCGATAAAAGTCTGCATGTCATACTCCGATTTGGACTGCCCACATTGGATATATGTATATGCATTCCTGTTTTATGGCGTCCATATAACCTTAAAAGCCCCATCGTAATGATAGGCGCCTATCGCATACCATGCCCAGCTTGGCCCACATATCAATAAACTGTCCAAATAGTTGCTCAGATGCCCGATTTTAAAGTTAGTTCAGTTTCAGACGCTTTGCGAAGTGGATGTGGAAATTGGGCTAAAAGCAAAGGATCTATCGAGATAAAACATGGTTGCTTGTGAGTGCAAAAGAAAAATATATATATTCCTTATATGTTTATATATAGCTATGTTAATCATTGGCTTCTCCTTTAGGGCTAACGGTCAAGGCGGTGGCCATCTGCTTGGGAATAACCACTGTTGCCTTTTGTGTAGCCACTATTGTGCTGGCTGTGGAGAATGCAAGTCTGGAGGATGATCTGCAGGATGCGCTGGCTAAACTGGATGTACTCTTGGCGGACACCACAACAATAGGACCCACCTCATCTGGTACAACGCCCACCTCACCCGGTGGAGAGACGAGCCCCGGTGGAGGTACCACTCCTAGCGAAGGTAGCACACCTGAAGGCGGTACCACACCTGGAGGCGGTACCACACCTGGAGGCGGTACCACACCTGGAGGCGGTACCACACCTGGAGGCGGTACCACACCTGGAGGCGGTACCACACCTGGAGGCGGTACCACACCTGGAGGCGGTACCACACCTGGAGGCGGTACAACACCTGGAGGCGGTACCACACCTGGAGGCGGTACCACACCCGGTGGTAGTAGCACGGCCAATCCAAGTCCCATATATCCTACACTGCCAACCGGACTGCCTAATCCAGAAGAGGTATGTAGGTGCATTGTTTATAGCCCTAAATAGACTGCCGTAAAGTCGGCATTAGCACCAATTCATATATTATCGTATCATATAGTTCGGTTTTACCGATTATCGATTTGGGGTTTTTATTCCCTTTTATCTTGACTGAAAAAGCGTTGCGCTTTGGTCAACCGTTTAGTTCAGTTTAGGCGTAGTCATTGTACGAATTGGTCATTCGAAATGGTCAAATTTATAGAAAATCTAAAGGGTGAGTCACAGTTAACACCCTCTAAATTCGTAGTCCTAAAATGTTGCAAGTCTAATTCCGTTAGATAAAATCACAGCGGAGCATGTGGCCATATTCTTTGGCCTGCTGTCCACCTGTCTGATCGTCGCCCTGGTCACTGTTGTGGTGCACAGCGACAATCTGCGGATCGAGCTAGCCGATGCAAGAGAGAAACTTGATGTTTTGGAGGATTACATACAGAACAAAGACCTGTCTAGCCAAAGAAGTCAGTTTCCAACGCATTTACGCAGTGAATTTTAGTTCCTAAAGAGCCTTTAACAAAATATGCCCAATAAATAAAAAACGTCTCGGCATACATGTATATTTCAGATATTATTTTAGCTAGTTCAGTTCAGCTACTTTTAACGATAGCTGACCAATGATTAAGGTCTTTATCGCAAACCTTATCATAATTAACGCGTTTCTTGTTATCAACCATGGATATTGACCAAATATTTATTACTGCAACTAGATTGTGTATCGACTGCCAAGTGAGATTCGACCCATACGTTATCGCGTCTACATAAATCCCGATCTGAAGACGGGCGCCTGTGACGGCACAGTCTCCATACAGTTCCAATTGGACGCCGTTACCAATTTGATAGTACTGCATGCCAAGGATCTGAATGTCCATGGCATTAGCATATTGAATATGATGGCGCGCATGCGCATTGCCATCAAAACGTATTATGTGGATGATACACGAGAATTGCTAATCATCGAGCTGAAGGAGGTGCTCAGCGTGAACAAGGCATATACGTTGTCCGCTAGCTTTGACTGCAAATTGGATAATCTTATTGGCTCCTATAGAAGCAGCTATGTGGATGAAGAAGGCAACGAGAGGTGAGTTTAATTCGTAGGCATTAAAAACAGTGAGTACAGCTTATGAAAGACATCAAAACTGAACGTGCTGCATTGAGTAAAAGCTCTGCGTTCCCATTTTATCGAAAACTAAACCTAAATTGAACTTTATATGAGTCGAAGATCGTGAGCACAATTGCAGCTCTATACGCTCAAGTGCTAAAGCCAATAAGAGACAGAGCGCGTGAGCATGGTGCCATCTCTATATGCCAAATGCTCAATGAAGTGTCAGTGTGGTGGTGGTAAGCTGAGCGCGACTGTTCAATAAGCCGGTCTCAGCTGTTGCGCGAAGCTTTCGGGAGAGCTTGCACGCAACGGCAACTTTGGCAGTCGCCTTTCAGTTGTAAGTTCAAAGCTGAACGCGACGGTCGTCGTTGTTTGTCAATGCGCATCGCTACACCGAACTCTGATCTCGTCTCTCGCTCTCTCGCGCGCTCGTACGAATGTGAAAGAAACGTGCGCGGCATCGATTTGAATTAAGTAAAGCAAGCAAAACAGATTAAGCCGAGTGCCGTTATCAAATAGAGCAGTTATTGGGCTGGGTTAATAATTTAGCGCACACGAAATGAACTAGGCTGCCCTGACTGTGTCTAACTGTAACTCATATGTAACTGTCACCACCGAATTTTTGCCAACCAACTGTAAACTACGATTTACGAGCTACTGTGTAACAGATATACACATGGACTGACACATGTTCGCGTACGAGTGCAAATAATGCGACAGAATACCGTTTATTTTTATCTTTTATTTATTTCGATTTAGTTTTTCTAACTAATGAACAAATTTTTGTGTTGTCATTGCCAAGGGGAGGGCAGTGCGGTGCGGCGCCAAATAGCTATATATAGCTATCTAACTAATTGAGCGCATTGAGGCGCGAACTTCTAAAACCTAGCCTCAATAATAATACAACAACAACAACAAGAAATAATAAAATAATAAAAAACACGAATGCGGCCATTGAATTCGATGCCAACTTTGACTTTCAACAATAAACATCATAAATAAAATAAAAAACCGCAAGAAGCAGCAGAATTTTCACGCACGCAAAACAGGTTGCAACTGCGCTTGCCACACCAATGGGGCTAGGTCCCCCCGCCACATCCCATCTCCCAATGCTCCACATCCGCTGAGCCGGCAAACAGGCTTCGGCTCAGCCTCTCTCATAGTTCACTTGCCGCGCAAGTTCTTGACCTTAAAATCGGCCAATACACGAAGACAGCGACGAAGTCGACGGCGACGATGACGATGACTGCGAAGGCGACAGCGACGGAGACTGCGACGTTGACTTCACTTCGCTTCTGTGCTGTGTTTTCATTTACAAGTTGTTGTGGCCAAGCGCAAGCTGCTGTTCGTTTATCTATGAAAAAAAAATATTACTTTCTTCAAAAGCTCAAATGAAATGGGTCGACTTCGACTTTAGCGTTGTTTCCGTTTGTTGTTGTCGCTTTTTGATTCTTGTTTCTTTCTGAAAATACGCTTGAAAGCATCATATACCCCGTACATTCTTAGCACCTATATTTTTAGAATCGCAACTAAGCCGATTCTTGTGTTGACTGAATTTCTATTAGCCAACAACACTAATGAAATAATACTTTTAAACATTGTGGAAAACTATTAGGAGATGTTCATTTTCGCATATTAATAATATATTGTTAAATGTGAAATGATTTGATAGGTTACCCGACATATACACTTTCTAACATAAAAGACGAATCGCATTTCACAGGGTATTACGCAGCTGCACTTCTAAGTCTAACTCGTTTTTGTTTTTTGGGTCTCATGTTTGGTGTTTTTTTTTCTGTTCTGACAAGTTCATGCGACGCGCTTTGTTCAAACCTTTTTCATTTTCATTGGCACTGATTTCTTTTCTTTTTTTGTTGTTGTCCATTTCTCTTTAACGCCTTCGGGCCAACTGTCGCTCGATCTATTTAAATTTCTTTCTTTCCTCCATTCATTCTTCGTTGGTGTTTGGTCAGAAAATGAAGGTCATCCTCAGTTTTGTAATTAACAAAAAGTATGGCTGAAAGCAAAATTCTTCATTAATTTGATTTTCGGAGTTTTCCAAATGAGCATCTTAATTTTTATTAAGAAATTTAATTAATTAATAATCCATTAATAATCCATTTTATTTATATTTATTATCGTTATGGATAAAGTATTGTCTTATTATAGAGAAAAAGAAAATAATAATGCCTGAGAAAGGCTGGTGAAATTCACATTTGATGATTCTTTTGAAAGGCTTTTGAATACATTTCAGTTCAAATGACCCATATCTTAGATTATGAGCTCTAAGCTTTAATTTATATATTCAATAATTATGATTGAAAAAAGTTCACAACAATCGTTAATAATGAATGTATTTGGAATAGATTTTGAATAATTGTTAACTTGAATAAGCCATACATTCAATAATGAATTTTAAGCATACGCTGAATGCACGTTTTTCTTTTTTTTTTTTTTTTTTTTTTTTTTTATTTGCAATTCTAATATATATTTGCAAAAATTATGTATGTAAATTTATTTATTTTTTTTTTTTTAAGCTCACTGCAATTAATTTAAATTACATTGTTTCCTATTATGTGGAATCCTTATGTAATTTGTTTAAAAACAAAACCGTAAGCAATACCATTTATTTATTGTGCATAACAGGCAAACTGTTGAAAGTTTAGCTTTGTTTTCAGATTTATATTTTCTGCTTCAATTTCTCATTCACTTCAAAGGTTTTTGGGTGTGCTTTTGAAATACTTTTGCCTGTGCGTATTAGCAATTTCAGTCACGTATTTCTTAGTCACAGTGACCCAATCCGGTGGCTAGAGCAATTGTTATATCGCTGCGGCTCACTTTTTGGGCATTTGTGGGTCGCACTTGGAGTTTCTTTATTTACATCGGTTGCGTGAAAGTTAACATAAAATAAGTCAGAACTGTGTTATGAGGAGTTATCGACTGCAGAATACAAAGCCAAAAAAAAAGAAGATATTTTTTATAAATAATTTATAAAATTTGTAATAAAATATAGTTTAAAGGACTTTGTAGGCGTATATCTCAATTCATATCTATAGGTACTTAGTTATTTAATCTCAAAACTCTTGATAAATAAGTAAAAGAAATATTTTATTATACATATATGTAGTATCCAAAAAGTCTTTATATTTTATCAACTGAAGATGGAGTGAGCATAAAGAGTCAGAATCAAATTTGATTTTTAATAATAAAATTAACATTTTGCGAGTGCATTCATCTCGGGTTCGGTCATTTATTCATATAAATTTCAAAAGTATTTGACTTTTGATGTCGCGTTCATTAAGAGCGCAGCAACATACACGGAGAAAAAATTGTTAGTAGTAGTAGTCAAAACCAAATTTTGAACTGTTTTTATAGTATTTTCGAATGCATTTAAGATGCAATCTTCGCTTCATAGAAATAAATATTCTAAGAATTAAATTTTTTTATTAAGCTTTAAGATTGTGTTTAGTTTTTTCTCCGAGTGCATCCGCTTTGGATACAATGGGATGTATAAAATTATGCATTCGCAGATACTTTGCAGCTGCCACATCAAGTGTTTGGCTTATAAGGTAGTCATGCATTTTTAGTTGCAGTTGCTCTTTTTTTTTCGCTTGTTGCTGTTGTTGTTGTCTTTTGTCTGCAACCTAATTGAGTCAACGCCAATGCATTGCATCATCGTAGGCGTCAGCGACAGAGATGGAAATAGAGACGATGATGATGAGTTGGTTGAGAGCTGTGTGACAAGCATAAAGACGCCCTGCATCTCTGCCCCTCGGCCCCAGACAATTATCATATTTTATCATATTCAACACTTTAGATTCGCATTCGCATTCGCATTCGGATTCGCATTTCGCTTCGCACAAGCTGCCGAAATTAACGCATATGTTTCTCAGCTCGCAGCTCTTTTGAATTTCGTATCTTAATCATTTTATTGTGGAAGCTGAGCTACTTAAGTATGGGCATGTGTACACTGTACTACTTAAAAATCACAGTTGTAAGAGCATAGCATAGATTATGCGAATTGAAAATGAAGACACAGTTATATTAGCTTGCATAAAAGATACAAGCAAGAGATATATAACAGTGTGTAGCATGGGAAAAATTATGCTTAAAATATAGCAAAACATCTAAATTAGATTTTTTTTTATACCCTGAACCCATTTTCAATGGGAAATCAGGGTATAATGGTTTTGTTGAAATATATGTAACAGGCAGAAGGAGGCGTGGCAGACCCACAAAGTATATATATTCTTGATCAGGGTGACGAGCTGAGTTGATTTGGCCCTGTCCGTCTGTCTGCCCGTAGAGACTTCAAATTTTTTTTTAAATGTCCGTAATTACAGCGCGGATATCAAGTTTATCATTAAAAATCGATAACTCATCCCGATCTTTTTTATCGTTATAAATATAAAATATATCTCTTACACCTTTATTGCTAGAGTCACCAAA